CTGATGACTGCAAATTTTGCAATAATTTTCGGTGACCGGTGGTTCATGAAACATGACTTAGCTATTCTGATTTTCGGGTTAGCAATTTTCCCGCAAAAAATTTCGTGCGTCCATACGCAGGAAGTAGATGTCGATGGAAACTGAATTTGAAATCTTTAAATTGCGCCTGTACAGGAAATATCACCTCGGAATTTCGGTTTTTCAGTTTTCCTGGTTAAATTTAGCAGTTATTGTTAAAACTCTCACGTGCTCATATGTGGGACCCAAGCATGTGTGAAAGCTGGTATCACGTTTTCGGAGTGGAGCCTGATCAGGGAACTCATTGGAAAACTTCGGAGTTCCGCTCATCCAATTGAAATACCTAGACAGACAGACACACACACAAGTACACATACCCAAACACACATGCACCGTGCTTGTCGTCACAACATGCGTTTTTGCATTGGCATAAATGTGCAGCTCAAACGATTTTCGCAACTTGAGTCCGAGCCCAAAAATGAGAGGCGCACCGAATTTTAGTAATTGCATTGATAAATTGGTACTGGCATATGCCAAGGAGTCGTACTTCTTTCCTAGCGACCGTAATTTATTATTCCTTGTTGTTGGTTCGAAAAATGGTAATATTCTTGGCAAGGTTCCAAAGACAATCCGAAACGGCTAAGCTAGCGATAGTTGCTTTATTCGAGAGCGCCATTAAGATGTTTTTTTTGCTTTCAGGAAACGAAACGAACGTTAGGATCGCCAGTAGGCTGACCGCCAGTCGAAGTAGCATTGGTCAAAGCAACTGAAAAAGTTGTCGGCTGTACAGATGGAAGAAAAATTTACTGTACATTAACGCGTCTGTTCAGGTATTCTAGGTATGATGTAATTTTTTTTTTTTTTTTACTATACACAGCTACCAGAAATAATACGATTCTTTTTTTCGTCGTAACTTATTTGGAGCTATTTATGCAACTTATTAATATACTGACGCGTAGCCGGTATTTGCATTGGGTGACGTCAGTGTTTCATCCCTGAACTGTAAACCCAGACGACTAAAATGGTGCGAAATGGGATGGGAATCATCAGTGCCTCTGGCAGGAAGTGAATTATCGACGGGTTTTGGTTCAAGGGAACTTAAGGTATTGCTTCCCAAAAAGCTTCCGGAAAAGGCAAATCTCACAAAAAGATTATTTTGCTTACCTTGTGCCACATTGATGACGTTTTTTTTAAAGTCTTTATGCTGTAATTTTCTTGAAATTTTTATAATTTATTTATGGTTATGCGGTAAATGCTTCGTTCCGTGGATTGTTTGGTACCAGCTAATTTGTGCTAGTCAACAAGTGTGATATTCCAGGAGCTTTTCAAAAAAAGTTCCAAAAATGCTGATTCTTTTTGAAAAAATGCTGGTTTTTTTCGAAATTTCAGATTAAAAACGATATAATTAACAAGATGCGCTCAAAAAACCTCCAAAAATGCTGATTCTTTTTGCAAAAAATGCTGATTTTTTTGAAATTTCAGGTTGAAAACGCTATAATTAACAAGATGCGCTTTGGTCCAGCGTGGCAGCATCGCCCCGGTAAACGCATGGAATCGAATTGCGGCGGCGGTGGTGACGAATGCTTGGCTCGAGTACCATACGCTTCGATCATCGCAGCATCGATGTGCGGGATTGGAGTGGTGTTGTTCTCATTGATGATGGCTTGGGCTTTCAATGCATCGGTGGAGCAGGCTCGCCGAACATTAAACATCGAAAAT